CCCACCCTCTTCCTGGGGAGACTGACAGCCACGTGGCAAGACCGCTTGAGCTGGGAAATGAAGACAGACTCTCATGCATTAACCTTATTCACGTGCCTTCTACTCCTCTCTGTCATTAATGAAGATGCCAGGGGACGGACCAGCGTGGAGGTGAGGTCTTTGGCCCCAGCTTTTCATGGACAGGCACCTGTGGGTCAGGCTTTTCAGCCTGACCAGGCACTGCCTCCACCTCCTCTAGAACTTTCCAAACCCTGCTCTCCCCTAGCTCCTTCCGCCCCCACACGGCCCCATTCCCTCTGCACCCATCTTTCCAAAAGTCCTTAGGAAGAGATCTGCCCCTCCCAGTGTGACTCTGAGTCACGGATGTTCACCCAAAAGCAATGGTGTGTATGAAGCACGCAACCTCTTTTCAAGGGAAGGTTCACAAACGAGAGGCTGAGGAAAAGTTTCCTACATAAAACCATCTGTTTCCCTGAAGATGCTCAGATATGGTAGCAGTTGCTTCCTGCTGATGTGCTTTGATCTCTCAGTGTCCTCCCCCCCAATCAAGCCCAGCCCCCAGGGATCTCACCCACTTCCCGGCCTGCACCTCCCGGCCCCACAGGAGCTGCAGGGTCCCCCTCCTCTCTACAGGGTTCCGATCTCACAGTGTCCACTCCTTGGGCTGCAGCTGGAGCTTATGGAGTTTCTTTAAGGAGTCTCAATTCTGCTCCATTATTTATTCATAATGCTGCGAAAGCCCTTGGGCCAGAAAGCACTTGAGAGAGAAGGCAGGCTTGGAACTCAGAACAAACAGAACCCAGCAGGGAGCCTGAGCATCACAAGGCGGCACACACCCGCCCCTGCTCCTCCGCCACCCCCAGCTTCTTCCTGGAGCCTGGAAGCACAGGCCCGAGGAGGCGCACGGGAGGAGCCCACCACGTCAGTAGCCCCGGTGCTCACAGCAGGAGTCCGCTCAGCACCCTGGAGGAAGGCCCACCCCCAGCTCTCCCTCCCAGCAGAGCCCTGAGCCAGCATGGCGGCTCGGAGGCAGCTCAGTGACAGTGTCCTCTCTCCCACTGCAGCCTCCCATCCAGTGGGTCACCAGGTCCTGCAGATTCTGTCCCAGAGGGTCCTTGCCTTTGCTCCAGGGCACTTGTAATTGGGGACAGTGGGAGCACTCCCCAAGTCAGACCAGGGGAGTGAGGAGAGAGGACCCAAGAGAAGGGGACAGGACAGCGGGCCTGGAGAAACAGTGCTGTCCAGGACATTCAGCGGTAGGGAGAGATTTTTTCAGGCTGGGGAAAGAGCAGGGTGGAGGCATGGTCGTGCAAAGGAGCCTGGAGGGTTTGGGGAAGGCAGAGTCTCAGGGAGGTGGGGAGGCTCTGTGGCCCGAACCCTGGGCCCTGCCGCCACTCCCGCGGCTGCCTGGCCTTGAGCCCCAGCTCTGCCGTGTGGCAGCTGCGTGCGCTTTGGCCGGCCGTGCAGCCTCTCTGTACTTCAATGTCCTGTGTAGAAAATGGGGTAAGGGCAGTGCCCCTCTCATTGGGCTTTTGTGAAGATTATATGGCTTAATGTATTATATGAGCACTTAGGACCGAACAGCACACAGTAAGCAGTAAGTGCGGCCAGCCGTTCTCTACACTCCTGCTGAGGTCTCCACACTGCTCTGCCCTCCACAGGGAGTAGAATCCAACCCCCTCAGATGTGGCCCTGCCTCTCTGGAGCCCTCTCCCCGGCCCATCGCCCTTGTCCCCGTGCGCCCCAGCTCGGCAGCCACCCCTCACGGCCCTTGGCGTGTGCCGGACCCGCCAACCCGTGTCTTCCACCAAGTCACGGTTCCCTCACCGCCCTCGGGTGCTCTCGTGCTATTTTTGTCTCCCTCCCCAGAAGGCTGGGACTTGGTCTGTCTTTTTACTACTGTTTCTCCATATTTGTGAGCATTTAGTAGGTGGATAACGAATGAGCGACACACGCCCAAGTACATACAGCCCATGAGGCAGATGAGTCCGGGCTCTTCCCCGGTACCAGCCTCACCTGGGCTGCTGGGGGCCAGGGTGTGCGGTGGGGGCGTAGCACCTCACATCCCCTCCCTCTGTGCTACACACTGAGTTGAGGTGTAGACAACTGTTTTTCTCCGCTAGCAACCCCCTTCTGCCCACCTTGCTACATCCTGTCGACTGTCAAGCCTTCCCTGTGATCCCAGGCAGTCTGTCTGTCCATCTCTGCTCCCCCAGGTCTCGCCTACACCGCTCTCATAGTACTGATCCAACCAAACCGTGTTCCTTATATGCCCTGCCCCCTGCCCCAAGACCGTGAGCTCCTCACTACCGCACTTCCGAGGAATAATGGTAATAGCAGCGGATCCTTACTGAGCACCCATTGTGCTAGCACTTTGCACAAATTACTTGGTGTCATTGTTGTGACCACCCTCAGAGGCAGGTGCAGTTATGAGCCCTGTGCTACAGACTAGGAGGCCAAGACTGTGACCGGGGCATCGTACTGCTCACAGACGGCAGGGCTGGAGCTCACCCCCGAGCTGCCTGACCCCGAATCCGTGTGATCAACCATCGTCCCATCAGCCAGTGTTCACTGAGCACTCACGACACGGCAGGCCGTGAGCTGGCCCTGAGAGAGAGAACCGGTCCCCGGCCCTGTGCTCAGAGAGCCCACAATCTAGGGAGAACACCACACCCATCGTATCCCCGCAATCAACGCGGAGTTATGGTCCAGCTATAGACATGAAGGGAGGGCGCAGTGCCGTGCGGGCAGATGCAGGGCAGCCGGTCCAGCCCCGAGTGCTCGGCCTCCACGCCTGGCACGTCTCTACCCACAGCTTCAAGTCCCAGGCCTCCACGGAGGCTGCTCACTGGACGCTGCTTTACCCCACGGAGCCAAATTGGCTTCCACCCTGTCTCTCTGCCAGGCGCCCCCCCTCCATCACAGGGAATCTTAGCACTTCCTGCCCAGTGCTCCAGAGATCCTCTTAGGTCTCCTGTGGCTTTTCTGAAAGTATAGTGGATGCTTCTCTGCTGATGATGAGAGATGCAGACAAGCCACTTAATGACTAAGAGACTAGAAGTGTTCTCTGAGATGGGGAAGCATTGTCTTGCTATGCTCAGCCTGGATTCCCAAGACGGACCCGGAGGCACTGACGCCACTCTTCGCCTGTTTAGGAGAAAGAAAGCTGGTCCTGGGGAAAAATAAAACACGCGGGGGCCGTGGGGGCTGGAGCAATGAGAGGGGGCATTTGGGTTTCAAAACCGAATTGCTGCTGTGCAAGAGACGGGGCCAGGCGGGCATCCTTGGGCCGTCTCAGCTGGCGGTGGCTGCTGACAGGCTTTCCACTTTGAGTCTGGTTTTGTGACTTAGCAGGGACCTTAAGGGCAGAACATCTAGGACAACCTGACTGAAGCCCAGAGATGTGAAATGACGCACCCAAGGTCTCAAAGCCAGTTAGTGGCAGAGGGACCAGAGCCTCTGAGGTCCACTGCTCTTCCCTGGCCAGCCCACCAACAGGAATTTGTTTTTCTAGGGCCATGTGAGCACAGGAAGGGGAGAGAAACACTGTAACGAGCTCTTGCAGATGGGCAGCTGGGGACCCAGCAAGAGCAGTGCTGTGCCTTTAAGAATCTGACTGCCCAGACACCTGGGCACTGCAGCCAGGGAAGCGCTGTGGTTATGGGTGGCGACGTCAGGGGGACAGGTTGTACTTTAAGCCCTGACTTCTCCAGGAGCCAGCACCCTGTATCTCCCCTCCCACCCCCTGGCAGCAGGCTCACCCCCTCCAAGCATTAGCCAAGACCCCCAGCCAGCTGCCCCTGGGTCAGGAGTCCAGAGGACCACCTGAGTTTCTGCCACTCTCTGGACAGCCTGACCTCTCCAGCCGAGGGAGCTCATTACCAGTCCGGGGGCCCTCAGGCGGCCCCCCACCGCCAACAGCAGGCAGAGATGAAAGCAATAACATGCTGGCTACTCTGCAGCCTCTGGTCACTCCTGGTTTTATTAAAGCCAAACTCTCAAGCATCCCTAGTGAGGATAAAAGGCTAGGAAGGCACCCAGGTCTGGGGCTGAAACCTCCTGGGAAACGAGAGCAGGGCAGAGAGAGGACCTGGCACGAGTCTGAGAGAGGGCCTGTGGGACCAGGCTCCCCAGAGAGGGGTGTGGCCACCAGGAGATGCCGACTCTCTGTTTCCTTAGCCCCCATCTATTTACGCAAAATCGGTGTGTTTATTTTCCTTTATCAAATAACCCAGTTAGTCCTCTGCTGCCTACGAGGCTGGGGGACAGTATCCCCCTGATCCCCTGAACCGAGAGCAGCCAATGTGCTGTCCGGCCGGGTGAGGCCCAGTCACAAACAGCAGAGGGTTCTGGGGTCAGGCCTTGGGGCCCATGGGCCCTGATTGCTCTCTGCCTCCAGGTCACCCCTCTGGGCCTTGCCCACCCCTCTGGGCCTGCAACTGAGGGTGGAGTTCACGTTGGGTGCAGAAAACGGGGTGGAGGGGGTGTTCCTCACCACAATGTGTACTCAGCACCCAGCACACTCCCACCTTTCACAGTCCTATCGAGAAAGGGCCCCCTGCAGAAAAGAGGGGCCCGCCAGGTCGGTGCTCCTGCAGAGGGAGCCGGCCTTGAGAGCAGTTCCTAGAGCCCAGGGGACTGTATTTACCATGAGGTACCCCCCACCTCCCCAGGCAGGTCCCCCAAGTCCATAAACAAATTATCTCGGACTTCCCCAAACAGGACAGGCTGTGAGAGCACCACGCTGTCCCTGGGGGGTGGCTGCGGTGGGGAAACCGAGACAGCAGCGATTTGTTGCTCCCTCTCAGAGGGGCCGTGGAGCTTCCAGCTTCCTCCCCCAGGTCCTGACCTGATACTGAGAACCACTCCTTCAACGGTTCTTCTGGCCGAAAGGTAACCATCGCTTCTACAGCGTGTGTGCTGCTGACCACGTGGCCACGCAGCAGCTGCTCAGGGAGCCGCGTGACCCCTCTCCTGACCTCTTGTCTGCTTCCTTGCAGGAGAGCGTGGATTTGGGAGAGATCATGTTCTCCCTCTGCTACCTGCCCACGGCAGGCCGGCTCACCCTCACGGTGATCAAGTGCCGAAACCTCAAGGCGATGGACATCACAGGCTACTCAGGTACCTCTCCTGCCCGAGTGGGCTGCCTGTGGCCTCTTGGCAGCCCAGACACCAGAGCTTGGAAAGAGGAGGGGGGAGAACTGTCCGTTTCCTTAGAAAAAAAACAGTCGTTCTGGGGGAAAACTGCCTGGACCCCAATTCCCGTTCTGCCGCTTCCTTGCACTGTAATCCTCTGGTTTCCTAAGCTGGAAACATCATTTCCAAGGTTGCTTTAAGCACAAACGAGTTAACTCACATAAATACTCACAGTTGTGCCAGGCACATCATAAGCACTTAGCAGATATTAGCCATCGCCATCATCCCTTCTCTCAGAGGAGGGTGAGAATGGGCAGTAAATGCATGGGAGAAACAATCAGAGGGAAATCTTTCTAGATTCCACAAGGCCCCAGGACTTCCCAGGGTTCTGTCGAGTTTGGGTGCGGAAGTGTTTGTAGGTCACACGGCCTACGGCAGCCCTGCGGACCCAAAGCAGCAAAGCCACCATCAGCGAACCGCGTCTGTGTTCGAGGTTTTGCTGCAGGGCTCCCAGCCTCGGCCTTAGCACCGGGACGGCTGCTGGGAACTGTGGGAAAATAAATAACGAAGGCCTATTCTGGCCACCAAGGAAATGCCTGTTTGGGGGCAGGTGTGGAGACTGCAGGCTGGACGTGGTGGCAGAGGTTTGCTCCTTTGCAACGATGCTGCAGGTTGCTGTCACAGAAGGTATTGGAGTTTTGCTGTCACGGAGAAGTAGCTGAGTCCCAGGAGCCTTCACTCCCCGCCCTCGGCTCAAATCAGCCCTAGAAGGGAAGTGGAGTGAAGACCCCCAGGGAGCAGGCACGCGCAGCGGTGTGGGCCTGCAGGAGAAAAGCCGGGCTGGTCTCCCTGGGCCCCGCCCCAGGGGCCCTTCTGTGACTGGCCCGAGTGTAAAGCCTGAGGTGCCTCTGAACTTGGATGGGAGTGTATGGAAGATTTTGCCTTTTATCCGTTAATTATCTACTCCCTGCCAAACTTCTTAGTGTATCTCAGTTAAGAGAAGGGCCCGTCCTGCTGAAAACCTCTGCACCCACGTGCGGCTGGAAGAGGAGGGGCCTTGAAAGATGAGGTTTCAGGGAAGTGCTGGGGTACATGTACTGTGTCTTTGTTGTAGCTTTGAATCGCTGGGAGCCGCTTCTCTGGCCGGACTCTCTCCCTGCTGCACCCTGGCCTCCAGGCCAAAAGCTGCCCCCACACACCCACTTCCCCCCCCCCCACACACACACCAGTGCCTCTCTCTGCACTGAAGCTACCGCCGCTCACTGGGACGTAGGGAAGAGCATGGAGATTCTTTTCCAACACAGTCAGCTTCCTCCAAAAATACAGCCACCGTAGATTGCATTTTAATAACAATATAACTGTGTGCCAGGGACAGAAATTCACCGAGGACTCTGCTCAGTGAAATGGGGTCATGAGGGAACTGCTCAGTGAAATGGGGTTTTGCTGCCCAAGTCCCCGAGCTGTCTTCTCTGGTGTAATTAAATTGATGTGCTAGAGGGGGAGCTCGAGGTGAGTGTCAAGGCCGCTCCCCACCAGAGGTCGGGGACCAGAGATTTTCCCCTTGCTCAGTTCTAACTTCCCTCTCACCATTGCTCCTCTTTTCTACCTGGGTTTGGAGTCTGGTGTTAAATCCGACCTTGATTCTGAACGTGCAGGGGTCTTCTTATTGTCAGGGGTTTCTGCCTGTTTTGTTCACCCAGCATCAAGTGTCTGGGACAGTGCATAGGACACAGTGAGCCTTGAATGAACGTGTATTGAATGAATGAATGAAAATGAATTTATAGCTTGAGGAACCTTGCCGGGCGGAGGTGCAGCGGGGGTGCCCATGCCAGGGGCCTCTCAGACCAGATCTCCTGTTCCTGAGGATGAGTGTGAGGCCCCCCTCGGCCCACACTGCTGTGGTGTTGGCCTAAACAAAGGGACAAATAGAGCTTATACACTGTCTCTTCTTGATTTATATGGCGTTGACCTCTAAAACCAAGGCTCTGCCTATTCTCCTTGGTCTACACGGGTCATGAACCAATCCCAAAGCCTGTCTATGGGAACATGACAATAGTAATACACAATAACAAAACTCAGGGTGCCCAGAAGGGGTGGTGAGTGAGTAAACTCCCCCCTCTCTGCCACATCAGGTCAGCACTACTTCGAGTCCAGTGGTTAAAAAACGGGAGCTTTCAAGTCAGACAGGCTGGGGTGCAGACCTTAGGCAAGATTCTGTGTCTCCTTAAAGCTCAGCTGCCCCGCCTGTGAGTCAGGGAGTCGGGGAGCGGCTGCTTGGCCCCCACCTCCTGACCGATTCACACAAGCCCTGGCTTCTGCGCAAGAAGGTGTCTCAGCACATCAGCGTCTCGAAAGCTGTTATTAGCTGCAAGTTGCCCTCCCGCTTCTTGAGCTGTGCAGCATAAATAACAATTACGATGGTGACCGAGACACCTGTGCTATGAGAGACTATCAGCGTCCCTTCACTTGGATGAGTAGAAAATTTCGGGGTAGAAAGATGACCGTGAAAAAACCCATTCAGAAAACTAAAGAGGCAAAGATGAGAGGTTCGTGGCTGTTCATTAAAAGGACATCTTCTCACGGGATGGAGAGAATGAATCCAAGACCCCGCTGAGACGTGGGCACCAGGAGGCCACAGCTCCCCGCTCCCCCACTGCCCAGGAGTGGGCAGGAAATGGCTCTGGGGGAAGCAGAGAGCTGGCTGTTGCCCCCCTTCTGGGTGCCAGAGGGAAATGAGCTTCTTGGGACAATGGGACCATAATCCCTTTGTCAGGTGGGGCGGACGTGGACAATGCTATGATTGTCGCTGTTCGTTTACTCCGATGCCTGTTCTGTTTCCGCCCCACTTACTCTTTGGTTAATGACACTGACAAACCCTCCCAGAGACAGGGACTTTGAGGAGGTGAACGGAATCCGGAGCCTCTGTTCAGCTTCCCGCGCCTTTGGAGCCAGCGGTCCTGATGGAGCCGAGATGTAGGTCATACGCTACAGGCCCACGGGCCGGTGTCCTGTCTGGTTTGGGGCCAGCCTCCCCGTTAGTGCAGGTCCATTAAGTGCTCTCCCAAGAATCCTGAGGTTTATGAAGCACTGGTGTCCTCCTCAGAGACAGGTGCGCTAGCTACATAAATTACCAGGTGGCTTAATTGTTTTAACGACCCACTGGTAGCATCTGCGGAGCAGCAGTAGGTGTGGGGCTTCTGTCCCTCGGCTGCAGAGGGTGTCGGAGGACATCTGTTTAACACACTCCCTTCCCTCCCACCGCCCCCGTCGGCACAGACCCGTACGTCAAGGTGTCCCTGCTCTGTGACGGGCGGCGGCTGAAGAAGAAGAAAACCACCATAAAGAAGAACACGCTCAATCCCGTCTACAACGAGGCCGTCATCTTTGACATTCCGCCGGAGAACATGGACCAAGTCAGCCTGCTCATCTCGGTTATGGATTATGATCGGTGGGTACAAGTCCCCAAGGGACGTGGTTCCCTGCCCCCCCCCCCCACCCCGGTGCAGCACAGGCCTCCCTGACCTTGGACCTGTGGTTCATAGCTCAGGTGCCCACTGGCCTCCAATCCAGCCACACCCAAAAAGGAGCACAGGAATCTGAGGAAAGGACCCGAAGCAGAAACTCAGGCTTCACTGCCTAGCCGCTCTCTATTTCCATTCGTCCCCAAGAATGTAGTCCTGACTGTTCCCATTCCTCTAATGGGCACCAGGTCCTGTCAGTCTGCCCTTTAAAAGGCCTGTCTGTCCTCTCCATTTCTGTGTGAGGTTGGAAAATCTGCTAACAACCGCTCCAGCTCAGGGATGGCTGAGCCTCCATCACTCCCCGCCCCGCTCCAGCCAACGTGCTAAAGGCATACCTTCCTGCGAGGAGACCACCCTCTTTCTGGACCAGCCCCTCTCAAAAACCATCAGTGGCCCCTGCTGTCCAGCTCTTCCCTTGGACTCTCAAGGCCTTCCATAACCTGGACCCAGCACGCCCATCCTTTTTTCTTTTAATGTTTAAGTACCTTTTCTTTAATTAAACAATAGTTTTTGAATTTTTTTTATTTTAATGCCTTGAATTCTCCTTTATTGGAGACACCGCTTCTCTCCCATTTATCCAAATCCTGCTCTCGCACCCGGGCTGACTCAAAATATGCTCCCCCTCCTCTAGCCACTAGGGCCCCTTCTTCTCTCCTGTTGCCACTTCAGCTGGGGAGAAGGAAACCGTGTCGTATAGCCTCCATCCAGGGTCTTTAGCACGAGTTTTCGGGCATAGTAGGTGCTCGGCGAACATGTCTGAGTAGAGATCTATGTTCTTGCTGAGTGGATAAGTCACACCCCAGCCGCTGGGGGCAAAGGGTGCTCGGAGCCGGTTGATTTATTTCCAAGTGCTGATGCCTTCTGCAAGTGTGGGTGTGATGTGCAGGCTGAGTCAAGTACGAGAAGAGAATGAAACTCCACCTCCCGAAAGCCCGGCCATCTGCCCACCATTTCCTGAGACTCCAAACGAGTTTATAAACTTTTGCTCATCTCTGTGTGCAATGCCCCCCCCCCCCCAAGGAGGCTGGGTAAAGCCTTGCTGCTGCCGGCGCCTTGTGGCCCTGCCAGACATCTCTTCCCAGAGCTCACATACTGAGTCAGGCCCGCCCTTTCTGAGGGCATGTCCCGTCCCCCATGCCATGCCTTTTGTCACTCCCTCAGAGTGGGCCACAACGAGATCATCGGAGTCTGTCGGGTGGGCATCAACGCCGAAGGCCTGGGCAGGGACCACTGGAACGAGATGCTGGCGTACCCGCGGAAGCCCATCGCCCACTGGCACTCCTTGGTGGAGGTAAAGAAATCCTTCAAAGAGGTGGGTGAGGTTGCACTTGGCCCTTGGCATGCTTGCTGCATGGCAGTGCGCGCTGGAGAATGGCCATGGGCTGCTCTGAGGCCTCGCCGTCGTGGGCCCTTCCCGCGGGAAGGTGTGGGGACCACGTGCTTCTCCCGAGTGTAACCAGCAGGGAGGAAAAGAAGGAAGACCACAGGTTGCTGCCTGACAGAGTTTCTGATGTGGAGCAAACAAAGCCACACTGGGTTCTATATGGAAAATTAAAATTTGGAGGAGGCCTCCTCAGCAGCCCCAAATGCTTACGGGGCCAAGCCAGTCCCTGAGGAGCAAGCCCTGGGGGGTGGAGGGGTGAGATCAGAACTCGGCAGGAAGTCCTCCCTCTGCTGGAGCAGTAAGGCCTGGGAGGCGGGGTGGCTTCACTGCCTGGAGAGCAGAGCCTGCCCCAGGGAACGCTGGTTCTCACCAGCTTGGCTTTAAGGTGCCACGGTTTCTGGCCGGGTTCTAGCAGGGGTGGAGCAGACAGAGCAGCGCCAGGGGCTCCTGAGACTCGGGCTTCAAACTTGGCCCTTCCTCACTCGATGGATAAGCCTGAGTCAGTCGTTTCTTTCTCAACTGAGAGAGAGATGCCCCTTCCGGTGCCATTTACAGTCTGCCCCGCCTCCACCAGAAGCCACTAATTTAAGATGCTGTGATTTATCACCTTGCTGGCTCCCAGGACGGGGGTGGTGGCCAGGCATGCTTTAAGCCCCATTTGACTAGCTCGCACCCCAATCTGTATCCTCAAAAGCCAGGTGATCATTGACTCATCAGGCGCCAAGCCCAGGAAGTCTAGAGAGCTGTGTGAGGTTGGAAAATCTGCTAACAAAAAAATAAAGCTGGGCCCTCCCACCACGTGGTCCCTCAGCTTAAAAGTAGAGTCACCTAAAAGCAGAGTAATCTCCTCCCCATCTGCGACACAGAAAAGGTGTGACCAGCAAACTCAGAGGACCTGCCGGCTTCCCCACCTTCTCGGGGTGGACAAGCCCCTTTCCACCTGTTTCCAGAAGTCAGGTGTCTCCAGAGAGCTAGGGGTTGGCCCAGTGGAATCGGTCCTGTGGTGGGGAGGGGCCTACGAGGAGCCAGGCTCTGCCTGATTGGTTTACCTCCCCAGCTGGGCGTGTGTTTTCGAAGCTCCCACCCTGCAGCCTCTGAGGCCAGCAAGGGGCAACGAGGCATAGCCTCCAAGTTCTGTCCATCCGAGGCCTCATGTTCCTCTTCTGGTGGTGGCCTTGGTTTTACCACAGCTGTGGAGCTTTAATGAGTTGAGGCCAGTCCCTCAGCTGTCTGCCTCCCTGCCCCCAGGGAAGCCCCTGCCCCCTCTTTTCCAGAAGGTTCTCTCTGGAGAATGTGGGTGAGGTACCACAGCCAGACTCCACCTACCCAGAAGGCAGCTGCTGAGCGGGACCCTGGACAACTCGGACGGAGACAGCATCTGGCACCTCGCTGGCTTCCTCCCCTTTTAAAAATGCTTTGGCGACGTTCAAAACTAGAAAATAGTGAAATGCCCAGGAGGGGTTGGGGGCAGGGCATGGAATCGCAGCTGAGAGGTCTCTGGTGGGCCGCGGGGCCCCAGGAGCCCGCTGTTCCCACTCCAGTCTCCAGTCTCCTGGCTGGTAATGCAGGCAAGGCTCCTCCAGGCAACTCTGACCCTGATGACGACTGGGTGGAGGGGCTGGCATCTCGCAGCCCCTTTCTAGCCTCAAGTCTGCAGGGACCCATCACTGTCACCAGGCTGGGCTGTTCACGCAAACTGGAAGTAACCGGCCAGGCTGGGGTTGGGGGTGGGTACAGGGCAGCGTGGAGGTGGTATGACCCAGAATCACTCTCTTTTGAGATGAATGCAACCTAATTAAGCCAAATAATTGATTCCAAATCCTGTCTTTAGTGAGTCTAACTCACTCGTTCAGACTATAAAAGAGATAAAATAGAATCAAGCCCTTGAAAATGAATATTTGATGAGACAGTGAAGGGAAAGTAACAGTATATGGAAAACGAAAAGAGACTAAATTGATTTATATCCTTTGGGTCTTACTTGTTTCTTGCCCCTTGCACACCAGGCTCCTGAGGCCGCCCCCTCCCCCACTCAACTGATCAGTTCTCTCTCTGCATGAAGAAGTTGAAAATCACATCCATCTTGTCAGCTCAGGATTTCATCAGTACAAATCTGCATAAAATGTATATCCACACCTTTATCACACCTTTATCAGTTTACGGATCTTTGTAAGCATGCGTCGGAAAACCCGCTGGACCAATATGAAGTAAACATTCTTTGTGTTCTTGTGATGCATTCTACTTGAACGCTCATCTTGATCGTCCTTAGAGTTCACCTCCTGCCTTCTTCTCGGTCCTGTTCTGGACGTTGAGCAAGAGTCTTGCTCCTGGAACTAGTTTCTCCCGTTTGTATAATACATGAAGACATCTTACTCTCCAGCTCCTGGGAAGATAAATGGCATCGTATCTGTAAAACACTCTATTTGTGTTGTACCTTTCTCAGAGGGGTTTCCAGTGCTGTCATCATTTTTTATTTATTTAATTTTTTAAGATTGTATTTATTTTTAGAGCGAGGGGAAGGGAGGGAGAGAAACATCAATATGTGGTTGCCTCTCGTGCGCCCCCTACAGGGGACCTGGCCTGCAGTGCAAGCATGTACCCTGACTGGGACTTGAACCAGCGACCCTTTGGTTTGCAGGCCAGTGCTCAATCCACTGAGCTACACCAGCCAGGGCCCCCTTTTTTATTAATGAGAACAGAGGGCACCATACTTGCTCATTTGTTTGGGGTTTTTTTAAATAAGGTTGAGAGGACCAAATTAACTGAAAGGTACTTTTTCCCTGCTGGGATTTTTTTCATGAATATAAATCGATTAAGCCACAGCCAGCGTCCCTCCCTGACAGGGGCAGTGCCCCTTCCCTCTCTCTGCACGTCATTGATGTTGCCACACACAGGGCCCGGGTTGGCCAGAGACCTTCTCCAAGGTGTTTTATTTTGAAGGGCCAAGTTCAGATCATCTGCCAGAGATTTGACATCTCTGTGGGAACGTGACCCATTTCAGAACAATACAAGATCTTCCTGGAACACAGACGCCCCGGGACAGTCACCGTCCTGCGTTCAGGGAGCAGGTCTCTGCTCGTTCGCAGCCACCAGGATAGGCCTTCTGGAGTCATTCACATGTCCATCGTCCATGAACCCAGCCTCTCCCTTTGCTGATCATCACAGGAAAAGTCAGGGGTCGGCAGAGGGCCCGTGTGTCTTCCTCATCTGTCCTTAGTAAACAGTTTTGCTCCGTGTGCCTTCTCGTTGGGCTGTTATACGGAGAAAGACAGGGACTCTGTGCGGCCATTTCAGTTTCTGTCGTTTGATCCGGCCTGTCAGCCAGGTGGTTTAGGCGGCTTGGGAATCCAAGGGCAAAGCCAGTAATTACAGTGCATCTTTTACCAACATGACTGGTGATAAAAGAAAAAGTGGACCTTCTAAAATGAACATCTTATGTCACCTTCTGGTTAAGAAACAGTTGAGTCAGAAGCCACAGTGGGCTGACAACGAGACATTTATTTATGTAAAATATTTCACCAGGGGACCCCTCGGTTGTGATTGCATTCACGTGGAGGCTGCAAGCAGAGACTGCCACCTGGAGTTGGGAGTAAGTACCTGGTGCGGGCCCAAGGAGGTCAGGTGTCTTACTGCATTTCTTACATTTCGTGTCTCATTCTTCCCCTGGCGTGGCAGACGCCGAGATGGCAGCTGGTGGCATGGAAGGAGCGCTGAGCTGGGAGTTAGGGGACCCGGTTTCGGATCCTGGCTCCGCCCTAAGCTAGACATGTCGGCCTTCTCTGTGTCTTCGTTTTCTTATCTTCAGGAACTAGCAGTTGGACCAGGGTGTCTCGGGGCGGGCCTCTGGGTCTAGCGAGCTAAGATTGCTGAGCTCTGGGTGACGGCGTGGGGTGGTCAGTAAGAAAGTTGTCGGTTGGCCTGGACAGGAAGTACTAAGGGCCCACGAGAACTGAGCCTGGGGACGGACAGCAGAGGCTTCCTTAGAGCGGAAAGATGATGGCGTTCGACAGGCCTGGGTCTCCCGTGCTGTCGGAAGAGATGCTGGACGGCAAACGGTCTATGGCTTAGGTGGGTCAGCCTCATCCAGAGATGGTCATGTGGAGGGGGCACTGTGTCCTCCCCATCGGACCCCCATACACGCACCAATGCACAGGCAGCCCCCGCTCACCCCAACACTCCACGGGGGAGACCCCGGGAGCTCGCAGGGAGCACAGGGGCTGCAGTTCATTTTCAGAAAAACCACCGTGACCTCTCCCTGACCTCTCTCTGGAGCCTTGTCCCGTGGGCACCTAGTAGCATACAGGGTCTCCTCACTGACATAAAGGCTGGGCTGTCTCACTTTGAAGTCCCTGCCCAGACAGGTCAAGAACATTCACGGGGTCACTTCCTTGCCCAGAACGCATTGCTCTGACCGGTTGGCTTTTCAATCTGAGCAAGGCTCGAATGGCTCAAGTGCAGGTCCATCCATCCTCGGTCCTCTCCTGTCACCCCGTGGGCCTCATTACATCACCCACCCGTGCAGCAGAGGCGGCTGCCGTCACCCCCACCTCCTGCCTCCTCTCGGGCCATACGTGGGTGCCCCCAGGAAGCATTAAGACTGAAGAACGCCTAGAGCTAAGGTCGTTTCAGGTTTTTAGCTGCACTAACAGCTCCCAGACAAATTGCTAATAATTCATGATTGGGTTCTTGGCAGTGAGGGCACACTCTGCAGACTGCCTCTTTGGCCACTAACATAATCCGATTTTCAGTGTGAGAAATGGCTGAAGCACTCAGAAATGGCCATTCACACACACACACACACACACACACACACACACACACGCTGAAGAAAGCTTTCTGCGGTAGATAAACCAGGTATTCCCAACTAGAAGCCTGAAAGCTGTTTCCATGTTTGTTTGTTTGTTTGTCTGTTTGTTTTGCATGGCTGCTAGCAAAATTCAAGAAAGCTTATCACAAAGGTGAATTCAGCGCATGGGCCCGACAGGTTCTGGAATTCGAACTGCCGAGTCCCTTGGTGACCACTAACCGCTGCTCCTCTCCCCACAGTGGCAGGGCCGCGCCGCCAGCTTCGACAGCGAGAGCACATGTCCCTCTCCGAAGCCACCTCCGACGCCATGAGCTGCCCGGCACCGTTAACAGACTCGGCACCGTTCCTTCGCACCCGTCCAACCGTCTAAACAGTGCTGCTCGGTCGCTGGTGGGCGGGGGCCGAGGGGCGCTCGCGGCAGCCCTGCCTGCTCCCGTGTAGGTCAAGGCCGAGGTCCTTGTGCTGCGGTCAGGTCTGTCTTAGTCTTTTCTGTCTCCCCAGGTGATGTTTTTTGTGGTCTTCACTTTTTATGGATCTGCTCTCAAGAAGGGAAGGGAAGGGAAAAAAAGTAGGCAAAAACGAAGAGCGGAGAGCCCAGAAGTTGGCTCAATAAACTGCAGTGTAAAATAGTTGTCTTTTGGGGGAAGGTGGTTTGAAATTTTGTGTCTCCACCAAGCCCCACCACCCTGAGGAAGGAAGTGGGACGGAGCTACGGCCGGGGCCTGCAGGTGCAAGCCCACGCGAAGGTTTATGACCGATGATGACTCTTCGAGGCTGCTCGCCGTGGGACGCGAGCTGCGATGTTGAAACCAAGAACACCCTGTGATGTCGGGGAACCTTCAGCCGGCATGCGGGGCTCCTGGCTCCCCTTCCCCATGGGCTTCATTCACGATCTGATAATGTCTCGATTCCTCATGGGAACTGAATCACTTTCTTTAGAAATGGTTCTGCTGAAACTAAACACGCCATGCGTTTTCTTGCACCCCCAGTTGATGACCATACTTGTTTGAAAACAGGATCTTTGGCCCGGAAAATAACCTTCCTCGTTGAGGAGGCACGTGTGTTGTGGAATGGATTCTGCCCCATCCACGGCTATGTAACTCCATGAACTATCGAGCTGTTTAAAATGCCTGCACAGATCCAAGAAAAGCCTAAATAAAATGTCTTTTTCTGAGTGAGGCATTGTGAAATCCAAGTAATAGTCAGAGCCCATCTTCCTACGAAGAGTCTCTTCTTGACTGAAACCAAGTCGGCTGCCGTCCATTTCAGCCCCCCGTGACTCTGGGACAGCATTCATCTTGAACTTGAGTTCCATAAACTACTACGTACTTCTGTGTGTGTTTGTTTCAGTGGTAACGAATGGTTATTTTCTTTAGATTTCTTCCTTGGGCCACATTCATTTTAGGAAACAGACATTTAAACTATTCCATGTTGTCACAGTTCCTTTCTGCGGAGTCAGCATTCCCGCTGACCCCCTGCGACCATGTAGCTTTGCCCAGGTCAGGACGTGCAGCCTGGGGCAGGGGTGGGGGGGGCGGGGGGGCAGTTGGAGGCGGGTCTCCACTGCAGTGCGCGCTTAGTCACTGCCCGTCCCCAGAGCTGTGTGTGGCACTTCCAAGAGGCAGGTCTGCCGAAGAACCCCTTCTCTCCACGACGGAAGGGCAAGAACGTAGGAGCTCTTCACGCGCCTGTCTTATTCTTTATCTATGTCACGTGCTTTAGGAGCTGACACTCAATAAAGCAACCCTGTTTTAAGCTGCGTTACCAGCTTTCTCTGCTTTGGGTGGTGTCTTCTAGTCCTACACGGGAGCAGATTGGGCATGAGGTAGCAGGATACTGCGGCGGAAGAAGTTTCAAGCCTAGAGAAGTAAATGTAGATAAACCCCAACTCCCCGGAGCCGTAGACTATGGGCAACTGAGTCATTGGTAGACAGGCAGGTCTTCTCCCCAAATGACTGGTGATGGATAGGCCTTCCTAGTCAGTCAGCCCTGCACATGGATGTTCTCTTGAGATTAAGAGGGAAAAAAAAAATCCCAATACTCACCTCAAGCCATAACCTTCATTTTTCTTGACTGACCCATCATGGGAGCCACCTCGGTCACTGAGCCGAAACTTCGGGTCCTGCAACTCTGCAGGGGACAGTTGAGTCTCCTGGATCCTAAGGGGCCCAGAAATTAGTGCGAAGAGGTCCTTCCAGAAGTGACCTCACGGTGCACGCATGTCCGGCTGTCATCTGAAACCTGTGGGCAGGTGAGGGCGACCACGCTGCCCTTTTGGAGAAGGGCGTGTGATTAGCTGAAAGTGGGACTAATGATTGCTCTCAGACACTTATTCTTCCTCTGCCCAGGCAGCGCTCTGACACATGGCTTTGGAAAATCATTTCCGGAGCAGAGTAAGGTCAACACCACCACCCCACCACCCTAACCACCTGCTGTCTTAGTAAGTTGGTAAATTTCCACAGGCTGGGAGACTGACTCCCCAGGGAAGTTTGGGGGTGCGCGGGGGAGACGGGGCCTCAACAGGAAGCCTCAGGGAAACCTGAATGTCTGCCGACTTCATTATCTAGCCCGACATCTCTCCCCCACAGATGAAAATAAAATAAATTACAAGTTCCTGAATAAAATGAAACACGAGGCTGATTGATCTGTGAGATTCCTCCGCCATGAGAAACCTCTTGGGTCGCTCTCGTGAGCTTTGCTGATGTTGTGTAATCAAGGCCTTTTGCAGGAAGATGTTTTCTTTGCAAACACAGACCTACCCTTCTCCTTTATTTAGTGGTGTTTCTGGGCTGAAACGCACCCCCCACCCACGACACACTTAGGACATTAATTGCATCGTCATTTAAAAAATTATGTTAATTACTGTTTCACATCTTCCTACCCCTGTCACAACCTGGAGTTTTTATTCAATTAAATTTCCGTCTCTTGCCCATTGCCCTTGCCGCGGTGTGCTCTTGAGGTTTATCAGTCAACACACACACAGGGCCCTGCGAAGCTTCTCTTTTTCAGCTCTGCTCCACACAGGCAGCCACGTCCCTTCAGTCAGCAAGAGGGCTGGTCGGGTTTTCACTCTGCCCAAGGAACACCTGCGCCCCCCCCCACTTGGCTGCAGCCTCCTGTGCTCACCAGGCTTGTGGCTCACGGGGCTCAAGGTGAGGGGGGCCCGGCTGTTTCCCCAGCTGTTCAGCTCCGTCAGCAGCCCCTCCAGATGCCAGCCCTTCCCCGGGTAAGTGGGTCACGTCCTCCTGTCTGGGAAGCGCAACGCTTTGCCCGCCGGAAGAGAACTCCCAATAATTCTCATAAAAGGCCACGTAGCAGAGTGATAAGAAGGTCTGATTGCAGACTGGAAAATTTTAAAAAAGCATTCTAACTTCATAAGCTGCCCTAGTTCTTAGTTAATTTAGAAGGCGGCCCTCAGAGGGCAGGGGGCACCACCCACTCTTGCACCTCTGCGTCTTAAGTGACCGGCACTCCACACTGAGGTGCCACCAAGGGAGCTAGACACCACTTCCCCTTGCTTCTGCCTCCCCGGCAGGTTCCCCACCGGCCAGCAGCCAGCACGACCTGGTCAGTCATGTGCTAGTGGTACTTTGAGCTGATCCATCAACAGGGTAAGTGGGCCTCTCCGGCTGGGCTGGGTCAGGCAGCAATACTAGCCTTCAGTGTTGAGGGGCCGGTGGCTGAAAACAACAAAGGCTTGTCATTCACCCTAGGTGTCCACTGCAGGTCAGCAAGGGGTCTTGTTCACAGATTTATTTAGGGGGACTTAGGATGACATAGCAGCCAACATCTCAGACGCTGCTAGTTGCCACGCCCAAGGGAAAAGAGCTCAGAGGTCTCTTGGTGGCCTCAGCGCTCTGGCCCGAAGGAACACATGTCACTTTCTTTTGACAGTTCATTGCCCAGAACTATTTACTCACATGGCCTCTTGTGAAGGAATTCAAGTGCCCAGGGGCGGAAGAGCTAGAAATATTAGCGGCAAGTGGAAGACCAGCGAAAGCAGACCCCCCAGGAGGGCGACAGCTGCTGAGTGGCCGATTCAGAGAAACTAATGAAGGGAGGCTGTGGTTTGTTTAGTGTTGGGCTACACAACACTGCAAGCCTCAGGCTTGAATCTCGCCCACGAAAAGCTTTTGAGTCTCCTCAGTTGGCAACAGAGTGTCAGCGGCACCAGGGAGGAAGCGGTGAGCACAGGGAGGGAGGAGAAACAAAAGATGCGGGAGTGCAGGGAGAAGACCCCAGCTGGGCGCAGAAGTGCAGCTTCAAGAGTGAGGGGGCATCTGATTCAGAGCTCCGTGAGGGGGTGCACACTCCAGGCTCAGGGGTCCAAATAGGGGAGGGCCCAGAGCTGAGGAACTCCGGGGCTGCCAAGCACCCTGAACCCAGGGGGAACGATGGGCCCCGAGCACAGCCGCTGCCTTGTTTCCGCTGGTGGGTCCAGACAAAATCCTGGACTTCTGCCCCAGGGGCCCTCCTTTCCTCTACCTCGAACCCCAGCCCACCAGGCCATAGATGTGGACCCGCCTCATTCTTGCCAGCTGCCTCCACTGGAGAAGGACCTGCTGCCCCTCCTCCCGCCCTTGCTGGCTTGGCTTCTGCTCCAGGGGGCAACACCTGCCTGATTCTGAATAGCAGTCGAGAGCCACACCCTCCCTACCCTCAACCACAAGCCTCTTGGGAATTCATGATTTGTGCAGTGCCCTGCTCCTCTTTGAGGTCACCACTCTCCAGATGCCCCCGAGCACAGGAAACAAGACTGGCCTGCCCCTGCCTGGGTCACAGCTGCATTCCCAGCACGGCTGTAGCAAGCCCCCAAAGACTAGAGACTTGAGGGGGTTGGAGAGCTGAGCAAGGCATGGGCAGTGCCCCGGGCGACAGGCACCTGTACAGGAGGTGGTGAGCACAGACAAGCTAACAGCTGAGCACATGTGAAAGACAGGGAGAGGGAAGGGGGGTTCAAAAGCCTTGTATGAGCCCTGGCTCGTGTGGCTCAGTGGATTGAGTGCCAACCAGCAAACTGAAGGATCACTGGTTTGATTCCCATTCAGGGCACATGCCTGGGTTGTGGGCCAGGTCCCCAGTTGGGGGCGTGCGAGAGGCAACTACACACTGATGTTTCTCTCCCTCTCTTGCTCCCTCCCTTCCCCTCTGTCTGAAATAAATAAACAAAATCTTTAATTAAAAAGAAGCCTCGTATGTTTTATACACCTGCAGCACCAGAAAAATGATAGTGCCTTCCACAGAAACCAGAGACTCAGCAGAACCAGGGGAAAATGATGAGCCCAACTTGGGCCAAACAGTCGGAGACGCCAGAGAGGTGTCTAGCAGACAGCTGCCGTGCCCGGCGCGGCCCGGCAGAGCGGTCGGGGGGTGTTGATTTGTAGAAAGCCCGCACACCACAATGAGAAGTGAAGGCTGGGGGTGGGCTCTGCCCCGCGGTACCACACGACAAGCAGAGGTTCTTCGGAACCATCAACACTTAGAGGTCAAGGATAAAGAAAGTGATGTGAATAATAAGGAAGGCATGCCCGAGCAAAGCTGATCGATGGACATGCTGACAAACAACGACAGATGAACAACGACCGAGGGCTTCGGAAAATGATTCTTGATAACGAGCAAATCCAAAGTGCTCAAACGGAACTTGACTTCCAAGGCTATTCCACCCATATGTGCAAGGCCATCTCTTTTTCTTTCTCCTCGGCTGTGTGCCTGCATTTTTTAAAAATGTGGTAAGCCCTGGCCGGTGCGTCTCAGTTGGTTGGAGTGTTGTCCCATAAACTGAAAGGTTGTGGGTTCAATTCCCAGGCAGGCCACATGCCTAGGGAGCAGGGTTGGTCCTCTGTCAGGGTGCATACAGAAGGCCACCAATCAATGTTTCTCTCCCTTGTTCTCCTGCCCTTCCCTTCTCTCCAAAATCAATAAGCATGTCCTTGGTGAGGATTTTTAAAATTGTGGTAAAATATGCATATCATAACATTTACCATTTTAACCATTTTTGAGTGTACAGTGCAGCGGCTTTAAACACATTCGCATTGTTGTGCCGCCAGCACCACCGTCCACCCCCAGACCTCTCCCTCTTGTAAAGCTGACCCTCTGACCGCACCGAGCAGCGGCTCCCCACTCCCCACTCCCTCCCGCCCCGGCAGCCACTGCAGACACAGACGTGTCTCTGTGAGTTTGCCTATTCCCTGTACCACACCTCAGTGGAATCACATACAGTTTGCCCTTTTGTGCCTAGAGTTTTTCACTCAGCATAGTGTCCTCGAGGTCTGTCCCTCCTATATATTATGTGTCCGAATCTCCTTTTTCAAGGCTTAGTAACATTCCATTGTATGTATATACCACATTCTGTTTTCCATTCATTCATCAGTGGATGTTTGAGTTGGACAGTTATCTATTACGAATGATGCTACTGTGAACATGGATACACAAATCCCTCTTTCAATTCTGGCTGTATAACCAGAAGTAACATTGTGGATCACCTAACAGTTTTATTTTTAATGTTGTGA